ATTCAGCTCGGCAGCTTTCAAAAGCCAAAACTGATACGAAATGAAACGGTCACGCCGTTGTCATCCTTTTGCATGAGCGCGCTGCCGATTGCAAAATTGCTTGCATCGCAGACGAAGCTAAATGGCTTATCCGCGTCTGGCTATGCCAATACCGGTGCCTTTACAAGAGATTGCTTTACTGATGTGAACGCATCTACTTGCTCCTTAGACCAAGTCCATTCTGTATCCTTTTCAAAAGGTCAGACAATTGCTTATTTCTCTCCGCATAATTCTTGCTGTACTTATGCAAGTAATTAGCGAGCCCAAGGAATTGGCGCAGATCCTTCACGTGTCGTGGGACTGGCCATTCCTTGATAGCCCTTAACTTTTCTGGGTCTGCTCGTACACCGTGTGCACCTACGATGCAGCCCAGTACAGGTATCTCGGAGACCCCTATTACGCACTTTTGCAAGTTAACGTATAATTGGGCGTCATCCATAGTCTGCAACACAGCTTCTAAATGACGCTTGTGCGACTCTATTGCGCTCAGACCGTCCTCCGCCCTACTATGCACGAATACATCGTCAACGTAAGGGGGCGCGTAGGCACGGTGCTGACGCATCACGTGAGCCACCACTCGGTTAAATGTTGCCGGAGCATTTTTCAACCCTTGTGGCATCAGAAGCTACTCCCACAGCATACCGCTTGGGGTGCTTACTGCCGTTTTGGCTACATCGGTATCTCTCATTAGAACTTGATAGTAGCCATTCTTCAGATCCAACGCGGAAAAGATAGTTGACTTTTCCATGGAGTTCAACAAAACATCTTTCCGCGGGATCGACGTTTGCACCGGAATGTTGGCCGTGTTCAGCTTATTATAAGAACAAACCACGCGCCATCCACCCGTTGCTTAACGCACAGAGAAGGTCGGGTTGCAGTGAGGCGACTTGCTCTCACGTACATGTCCCGCCTTAGCTCGCTTGTCGATGAACTCATCGATGTAATCGACATGTATCTTCGGCAAAGGCCATTGCCTGGTCACACATGACTTGGTGCCAGTGTTCAGGTCAATCTCGTGCCTCATGCCCCTATCGGCCGGTAGGCGGCTCGGCACTTCTGCTGGAAACACATCACGGTGTTTCCACAGAACATCATAGAACGGGCTGTCCTTCAATGCATCCCAACCTGGAGCAGCTAAATGTTTCTTTTTGTCGGTCTCCAAGACGCTCTCGTCCATTGTGGATGAAGAGCAACAGTCCACCACGTTCTCTTCTGGAACTGGTGCGACTATCTCGTGGATCTTTCCTTCCGTTAGTTCGGACAGGAACAGATCCCACGTCATCTCCGAGTGATTTACTATCTCTTCGGCAGATGCCAAGACAAGTTGGAGCACCGTAACTGAGGATGCCTCCGGCATTTTGTCTTCGACGGCCTCGAACAACTCGTTCGTAGGTCCTTCTTCTTGGACCGAGACTGATCCAAGGGTCACTCGTTTCGACGTTCCCTTGATCTTTTGTAATACGTCTGGTACTCGTTGTTCGAGTCACCACGACCTTTTACCTGGAAGAAGGTGTCGTTTCTATATTAGCCAACGCACTCCTTCCAACCGCACCAGGCTCATGGCTCTGTGCCGGTTCTTGTGGCGCTTGACTTCCTGTCATCCCACCATCAACTGTCACAGTCTCTCGGCTCTGTGCAGGACTATTGGACGCATGACTACCTGACATCGCCCCATTCAATACACCGAGTCTTTTCGATCTGGTTAGGAATATGTGTCACCTGGTTTTCCGCCAGTGCACTTCCGACTACATCACTCCTTTCGAGCTGGGTAGTTCCTGGTGTCGATTGACATACCGTCATCGCACCCTCGACTTTGTTGGACACAGGATCAGTCACATTAGCCTCTCGCAAGAGCACATCCTTTCCGGTGTCTTGCGTAGAGTTAGCGACTGTGCGTGTACGCCAGTTTATCCATGGTTGGTATTTCGCCCACCAAGGTATGCCTCATACGGACTCTCCATATCTAGCACTGTCAACTTCTTTTTACAAGAGAAGTCACTAAAGCTGAAGGCGAGTTCAACTTGAACTCCATCCGATTTTACGAGCGCGCCATTCGCTAAACGAACGATCGCCTCTTCTCGCTTGACATCCTGGCAAAGCGAGTCATAACTTGCCGGACTCTTTTTCAGAGCCGCGAGTTTCACAAACATCTGTGATGCACCCGAATTCATGAGAAGGGTCATAGACTCGTACCCGAGCGCTATAGACCAAAAGGGTTGAGGCCTGACCTTTCGGTACCTCAGGGACTATGCTACCCATTTTTTCGATCACTCTGAACATAGGGGTAGCTTCAGAGTCCGCGACAGTAGGACATCCCGCCCCTACTGCGCTCTCGCATTTCCCGACCCATCTCGGGAAGGTGCTGGACCCGAGCATTGTGCACGGTTTTTCGAACCTCCCTTCGGGTAGGGAGCCTTCTTGCTGGCTGACTTAGCACCAGCAGCTACTTTGGCATAGCAGCGAGCCATGATATGGCCGCGCTTGACGCACCACGTATGCATTGCATAACTCCATTGGAGTGGCGTCCGACCTCTCGCCCGAAGGCTTATAATAAGTTGTCGCCGAGGCGATGTTGTAGGATTGCTCCTCAACTAAGTCAATGTCAATTGCCTCTTCCATCGTCGCTGGCACCTTTCTAAAAAGGGCCAGACGCGATGGGCCGTGCCGTAGTCCATTCACGAACGTGGCCACCTTAATCTGTTCTAATATCAGAACCACATCAATGGACGTCTACAGCGAACGCATCTCCTGCATATACTCTTGCAGAGAAAGTTTTGCCTGTCGTGCTCCGAAGAAGCGCGTTCAGCGTTTGCCATAAGTGCAGAGTAAGCCTACTCTGACGCTATTTTACACAAATTTGACATGGCATACGACACCATCCTGGTGTCGTCTACGATGAGCTGCGCCATAACGCATTGCTTCATGGCTAAAAGCCAGTAAAAAATCGTTTGTGGGGCAGTACCATCAAACTTAGGAGGGTTCATCCGAATGAGCCTTGGTTGAGTAGTTTGGGCAGAGAGCGTCTCAACAGTTCTGTTGAGCGCCTCATTACGTGCCTGCTTAAGCCTAAGCTCATCCTGAGTCTTATTGACGGACTCAGTGGTGGCTTATCTGTTTGCCTCGAACGCGTTTATACGCTGTCCGAGCACAAACGCCTCAAATTGCTCCAACTGAGCAACATGTTGCCCAGGAGGACAATGCAAGAGGTTGATCAGTGCTTGTTCACCAAGTCCCTGCGCCATATGCTCTGCCAACTCTCTATGATGTTAGGAGAGGTGAGGGGAGTCACTCCAGTCCATATTAAGGACCATGTCAACCACACGCACGCTTAGAGAGACGGGTCGTGGGAAGGACCAACAAGTGCTACCAAGTGTAGACGGGCACTTCTATGAAGTTGCCTCATACTACGAGCACACACCTTATGCACAAGCGAGGAAGCGGTTATACCGTCTTACCTTCGCGTGCGAGGGTGGTTGGGAGGTTGGTCGACTGCTTAAGCAGTCGTACCACCAGTTGCCTCTCGCTTAAGCGAGAGTGCAACGAACTTCTGAACAAGAAGTCACCGACGTCACGCAGAACCTTTTTCAGCTTCTCGTGCGTGGTGCGTATGTTTAAGCAAATCCAAGACTGAGTTATACTTAATGAATTATAATCAAATATAAACTTAACTACTGATTGGCTATATATATATATAGATCGGATACGCGACTCTTTAGAAGCGTATCCTGACGCATGAACTTAAATGTAGATTTAAGCTTGCGAATGACGTCCTTCTGAGACGTCGCGATGCCTAGCTTCAACTAGCGTCATCCCTTCTTATGTGAATCCATAAATGGATATCACATTCACGAGGGTAAGTCACGTTTGTGTATCGCACCCAATTGACAGGTCAAAAGTAATCATAGATACTTTTATACCAAACATTAAGTATATTACTTAAGGTCTACGTGTAACTAGATAACCTGTTACCTTTTCGTATTATGCTATACGTAGTTGTTTTAGTACAAACATAAATGCGGAATATGAAAGGGTCTATAAGGTGCATTGTCAAGCTTTAGAAGCCATGCATCCTAGATATTTGACGTTATCATAGTTCTGTCGTCATTTACGGCTTTTGGCAGGAAAATATGCAGATCGAAAAACTCCATTAATCGTCAGCACTTCACCGAGCAGCCATGCGTGTTAGTCGAGTAAATTTTTTGTCAAAAGCAGGCTAATGATGTGAGCTCGGGGTCAAGAAGATGGTAAAATTTATAGAAGTTTGCGCTATAATGCACGGATTGATCGTCACTTCAAAGCTCCGAACATCGCTCGCCTTGTTGACGTGACACAAGCCATCGGCTGAGTATACCATCAGGTACTATAAAATTAGAAATGTCCTGCATTATGAGAGATTGTCAACACTGGAGCACGCTATCCTTGTAAACGGTTAGGGTAGTGCCATTAGGTCGCACGTCACAAGACTAAACAGCCCTGCCGTCAATACAATTATTGGACTCGTTTCAGCCTCTCACTCTCTCTGTTCACATCTAGTGTAGACGCAACCTTTGTGTACTAAGCACTAGCGTATGTAGTAGTGACTGCAGAATGCCAATGACTTCCGGTCCCGGCCTTGGGGTAGCCACTCTCGTCTAGTGCGGCACTTGTGAAATATGTTATTGTGAACGGTTTTACATACGAGTTCGATTGTGTCACTGGTTCTAACATATAATAACGTCTCAAACTGTCGGACGCAGGTATTGAACTGACAAGACTCAGTACCAACATTCCGGTGTAATGAAGACGCTAAGACAGAAGCTAGGATACCTGGCATATTTTCGTCTCTTACCAACTGCCCGTTGATTCAGGAATTGTAGAAGGTTTTGAACAGTAGCAGCCCTACTTTAGTATTTAGCAGTATCTTTTACAACAACGAATTCCATCGCCCCTATCAACTAAACCCTCGTATTCTCTCAGTCACGATGGCTTCTGTAAGACCCTTGGCAGGCTACAACGAAGAAGTACTCTACTTCGCTACTGCTCCGTCGTCCTCGCTATCTCCTCGCAATTTCTGGATGTTTCTAGGCGTCGTAGTTGTCGTGTTATTGCTAATATCCTTCACGCTGGCCAATTTTGTGGCCTGGTGCCTGCACTTACGTCGAGAACGCCGCATTCAGCGTAAAACGGAAGAAGTAGCAGCTGCGTCTAAGGAGATCCAACCTCCGTTCGTGCCGGTAACCCTTTTCACGGGCTTTTTAGGCGCTGGGAAGACCACTTTACTCAACCGGATCTTGATGACCGAAGACCAGCTGCCGTACAAGATCATGGTGCTGGAGAACGAGCTGGGGGCCGTTAGCATTGACCACACACTGCTACGGACAGGAAGCAAGAAAATAAACGGTATCTACGTCCTGAAGAATGGCTGTATGTGCTGCACAGCTCGAGGAGGCCAAGAGAACGGCGGAGACGAACTGGAACGAATCCTGGACTACTTGCTGCAGCTGGTACAGGAGCAAAGCTTTGAGTATCTTATAGTAGAGACTACGGGTCTTGCAGACCCAGGTCCGATTATTGAAACGTTCTTGAGGTTGAGAGCGTCACGATTTCGACTTGATGGGATTGTCACGATGGTAGATGCCAACGCAACGCAGAAATACTGGAATGAAGAAACGCAGGTATATGAGTTTCCAATTGAGTTACAGCGACAAGCATTATATGCAGATGTTATGGTGCTGAATAAGGTGGATATGGCTACGAAAGAAGAGTGTAAGAGACTGGAAGAAGCACTGGTAAGTATCAACGAAGAAGCCACGGTTTGTTGCTGTGTGAACGCAGAAGTAAACTTGGACAAGGTCTTGCATGTGAAGACGTTTGATACAGTGCGTTTTAATGCGAACAAAACAACTGCTAGTGGAGAAACAAAATGCATGCAATCGCGAGGTCAACATACAGGAGGCATTAGTACAATGCACTTTGAGGTCGAACGCGATGTGGACGTCGCTGCATTTGGCGAATGGCTTTCTAGGATTGTTGCACGATATGTGAAAGGAGCGGACGTGCTTCGTGTGAAGGGTATTCTATCCGTAACAGGAGATGCTGCAGATCGTCGTTGTGTCGTGCAGGGTGTACTCGACACGTACACAATCGCACCAGGAACAGCCTGGGAGACTGGAGAACAGCGCGTATCTCGTCTTGTACTCATTGGCCAGAGATTCGATCATGCTGAGCTTGAACACGGATTCCAGAATTGTCTGGTGGACAACAACAGCGCTAGTAACGAATCGAAAAAGCTGCGGTGAGTGTGCATATGTCCAGGTTTGACGGTGAGACGCTAACAGCCGCAGTTTCAAGACAACCAAATAGTTGATTCTCGCTTCGTTTGTTATAGTCACGTCGCCATGTTTGCTGTTAGCCTTAAAGGTACCACCAAGCAACTATTTCTCGCTTCAATGTCAAGATTGGGCATATGATCATTCTGTTGCTGGCAAACAAGAAACCGTTCCATGTAAGCATTATTGATAACGTGGAGAAATTATTTTATAGAAATGCACATCAATTTTCTATCGCCGTCGTTATGCGATATGACAGAAGATTTGTTGAATAAATCCCGTGAATGTGCAAGTGCGCTTGGGGTTTAGAGCTTCAACTCGTCCAACTTTACTCATGCGACTGCATCTATATGCACCGAATATTAAGCGTACGTCACCAAACTGGCTTTTCTAATGGAAGTTATGATCCTTTCAATGAAATGCAAAAGTCTGTTTGGCAGGATCCCCATCCGCGTAAACTTTCCGTCTGTACCATTGTACAGTCCAACAAACGGCCATTGATCATTTCCGAATTCAACAAGACCCCAACAAGTCCCAAACAAGACTCCAACAAGTCCCCATTAATTCCCCATTAAGACCCCAACACAACCATGCACTTAAGCAAGTTTTTCCTGCCCGTGACTCTCATCTTCATCGCTTATTGTAGCACTTTTGCGAGCGCGGAGAACGTGATACAAGTCAAAAGCTTGATGAAAGACTCTCAACGTGAACTAATGGATGAAAGCCACCGCAACCTCAGAGAAGGCGTGGCAGAAGATGATATGAAGCCGGAAGAAGAAGATGAAAGTGAAGAGAGAGGATTTGCTTTTGGTCGTCGTCAAATTGTGGCATCGGTGGATAACCTAGTGCGAACGATGAGAATGTCAGCGAAGGACCTTAAGCACTTTATTGATCTTGCTAAGAAGGTAAGTATTATGTCCGACATAAAGCAATTGATGTACAAAATATATCGTAGCTGGACGAACAAGAGAAAAATTAATAGCATCACTGCTCGTCCATCGTGAGACATGAGGGAAAGCCGTCCATCCAAGTAAGTGAACCTATTCACTTTCTGCTTTTGCAATTGGGGATTGGGGACAACTGTAAACAAGCTGGACAGAACATATCTTTGCTGTGTCTGTACACAGTTGATTCGATAGAGTCACGGTAAAGTTTTTGAAAATAAGATCATTTGTCCGTGAATAAGGAAATATTCAAATTTTCTTGTATTAGTTCTTAGTAAGAAACCATGACCATGCGTTTCAAAGTCTAGCTTACGTTGTGATCACAAAAAAGGAAAACTCATCAGTTCAACAAGAGAGCGTAACGACGTTGCTCACTTACTGAACGAATACCTTGATGAGTGTCACAACCTCGTCCACCTTGTATAATCTTGACCTCGCCCGTAGCATTAAGCGCATCCTTGCCTTTCATCACGACCATAGCGTAATTCACCTACTAACGTACGTCTAGCTGCTTTGAGTCAATGACCTTCTGACTCTTCTGCGCAAAAGCTGCCTTCGTGTTTATGTCCGAGTCCGTGTAAACGTGCTGTTTTTAACAGAGAAATGCAGGAACCGATCAAGTGCGCCCGCATCAGATTGGCTAAAGATGAAAAAGGCGCTGGGATAGGACGACGCAGCTGTTGATGACGGAAACTCAGCGGATCGGCGTGCTGATGTGACCAACATTGTTAAGAGTGGACGACACCACTGGCAGATGTTGAGGGCTCAGAAATAAAAAGGCTACAGAAGAACTTTCTAGATTGCTTCTTCGAAGCATGAATTGATTGGCTAAAATATTTGTAGGGTTTATATAAGAGCTAATATACTTTTCCATTAACTTTCTCGTTCACAGTTAACCCTCTGTAAGTAAAAAAACAATAGCAGCAACAGATCGGGAAGAGCAACAAGATGGCTAGGGAAAGATGCTGGAAGAGCCAGTAGATGCTCTCTTTCCGCTCATGCATGTCTCAGGAGTTTAACACCAACAATATATATATATATATATATATATATATATTTCTTTTGTATCTACCTACTTCTGCGGAAGTGTATCTCTCCCTTTCAATAAGTTATGAGCTCAACGTAACGCGAGACTGGTACAGACAACGCGGCTGCACCTGCTGAGGTAGTCGACGGTCATAAAATGGCCACTGACCTTCGCCACGAAAGGGTTGAAGTGCCCATGGTGGCATAAAAAGGGTGCTTGCAGTGCTTGGAGACTTGTCTGAACGGATGGGCAGAAAAAATCCTTGTAATCCGGACAAGCGGCACGGCTTTAAGAGGACTTCGCGGGGTCAAGTGTAATCGGGACCATTTTGGGAGTTGGAACAGAGATTAATCTTCATATGTAACAGGTTA